TGTTCACACGCGTGTGCAATAGAAGCGCGCACAACGATACTGTCTCCAAGTATACGAATGCACAAAGCAGCCGCCCCGACCGAAATCTCGCAGCTAAGATAAGACAGCCGAGCTGTCATCGAGTCAACCCTAACTCAAACGTCACAATAGTCAATGAGTCTTTCTCTAAAAGCGGCGTACTATCTGTCTACGGCGCTACACGCGTTTCGCGTCGTTCGCGAGAGTTTCAGGGACAGTAAGACTGCGGATGCGGCAGGGAATGACAAAGAGACCGGATGAAACGGAAGCACAATTGGACGTGTAGTAAAAAAATATCCGCTAAATACAAAGATAGTCAATCTCTTTCGTTACGCATATTTTCATTGACGGTATAATATATCTTTTTCGCATTACGGAAGGAAAACTTATTTCGTATCATTAAATTTCCGCTTTCATTGATAGCGCGTTTTAATGAGCAGATAATTCGTCATTAGGATACTTGTATTCTGTTAATAGACTCGTATAGGGTAAATGATTATTGAGCAGGATTCTTATAATAAAGCGCAGATTTTCGAGACGCACTTTGATTGCGTAGCAAAATGGAAGACTTTTGCGTTTAAGTACGTAGCAATGCGCAAAGACGATGCCAAGGGGATATCGTTGTCATCTACGACACGCGCACAGGACCTGTCGTTCTGGTGGGCCCGCCGGGGGGTCCCGGATTTAATGAGGATAGGCGGATTTGTCCAATTAAAACGTCTTACAAGGATCCATCCGGGTCGACGTTCATTCGCAAAACATCGAATCTAGACTTTGCCACAGCAGCCTCTTCTTATCCCCGCGCTATATAGGTATCTACCTACCGTTATCCCTCTCGTTATCGTTATCGGGCTCCGCCTTCCAAACCGAGCCGCGACTCGGGAAGCAACGCCGGAGCAGACAAGGATTTATGGAGCTTGTTTCGAGTGCTATTGGTATCCGCGAATGTCATGAAGATTCTACCGCGTCATCGAGCAAAACACAACTCATGAATCTCACGATCGAAGATGAGTGGATTGATGTTATATCGTTGATATAAATCTATTATAAGTGATGAGCACTTATGGATCACGGAGGGCGCAAAAAAAAATTATCTTGTTTTCGATATGTTATACAATTACGTATTCTATACGATTTTTTTGTTAAATTGTTTACGTTTTAGTAAATTACTAGATATTCTGCGATATGATGCGATTCTAGTAATTTACTAAAATGTAGGCAATTCAGATACAAGTAGTGAAGAATAACGTACTTTCTTTTAAAGCGAATTGTCCCTCTTAAATATTGAAAATTAAGCCATTCTTTTTCAAGACTGGTTCAGTTTCTTTAGAGTTAGGTTTTACTCCAAAGAATTTAGAGAGTAGAGTATGCATAAAATATCGAAGATAATAAAGTCATCACGTTAGCTAGTTTTTCGATTCGATCAGATTTCAATTTTAATAAGTATATTATGTTAAAAATTTTTTGAAATTCATTTTTTAATGTGTTTAATACTGTATTTTGTAAAATATTATTTTTACTGTTGTTTATAAATAATTTTTTTCAATCATTTTAAACTTGCAAATACATATTTGATTTTATTAAATATCAAATTTAACATGCAAAACAACTAGTTTCCTGGAATTTCATTTATTCGTGTGAACACCGAGGATCTTTAATCGGAAGAAAGCGAGAAAAGAGCAGATTGGTCGATCGGATAAGAAAATTGCTGCTGGGCCGAAGAGTATGAAGAACTAAGAGGGAACAGTGAAATGGCAACGGAGAAGAGAAGAGAAAGCAACGTCTTATGAAAATCTGAAAGTCAGCAGCCCGGAGGATCATCCTTTTATCTGATCTTAATTTGTCAGGTCGCGCGCAGACAATTTAGATCACACCATTCGTATTAAATCGTTATGAAAAATGGCCAGTTTTGAAATTAGCTTTATCGACATATATATTAAAATTTTTGCTATGAAACATGCCCGATGATATTGATTTGCTGTCGTTCTATTAAAATTATTTTTAACAAATTTTTTAAATATTTTAATGTATATCTAAACAAAATTTTTTCTCGAGAAATGAAAAACAATTATTGTTAATAAGAACAATAATAGCAATTAATTTGAAGTAGTTAAAAGTGTAGTTAAGCTTATACACTATGCTTTTTTCCTATTGGATTGCTTGCGTTTTAATAATTGCTAAAACTGGGCTAGATAGAACGCAGAGTAGATTTCTAGTAATTTACTAAAACGCAAGCAATCCAGCAAGAAAATATGCATCATGTGCCACAGGTATAAAAGTCACATAGAAAAATTTAAGATCCATAAGACTTAAACAGTAAGAAAACATATTCGCTACCTTATTTACATTATGATTTTATGATCTTTACTATGATTGGTCAATTCGCTTACTGCTTTAAGTCTTACGTCTTAAGTTTTTCTATGTGTCATGGCCTTTAGTTTCGCTAAAATAATTGAAATTATAAAAGAATATTTTAAAATTGCGCGAAAATGTTTTTCATCGTATTTTTGAGAAATATAATAAATACAAAAATATGCATGCAATGAGTTATTATTGTTATAATTTAATAAGCGATAAGAGAGAATAAATCCTGACGCGAGTTATGTGATAACAAATGAGCTGCGTTTGGGTGACAGTCGACAAATTGCAAACGATTGAAGGAAATTTAGAATCGTTTATGACCATCGCGAATGTGACGCGATATAACGCGAGCTAAACATTGCCCTTTGCATTCCCACACGATCGTGTACACGAAAAGTATCCACGAGACGTGGGTACATGTCGCTCCAAAGGAGCATTGTGTATGCTTTGGCATTCAGAGGACGTTCTTATCTGCCTATCCGGAGAGCTGTCAACAAAGTTCCTGAATAATAACAGAGAGCTTGTGGAAGAGAAAGAGAGAGAGAGAGAGAGAGAGAGAGAGAGAGAGAGAGGAAGTTATAGGTAGACAGAGAAAGAGAGAGAGAGAAAGAGGAAGGAGGAAAAGGGAAAGATAGAAACAGTGAGAGAGACAGTGAGAGAGACAGTGAGAGGGAGAGAGCCGCGCGGTTCTGCTATCAGCCGTAGCTAGGATATGCCTAACTATTCTATTTCCATGCGGCTGCCGGACGTTTCGCCGTAGATAATGTTGGCCAGGATGGTTAGATTGTTGGATGCGATTGATAAGAACCGAAAATGCCCTCCGCCGCTGAATCGGATTGTAACAAACGCGCGTAGAGCGTGCCGACTGTATAAGAACGTCACCGTTCCTATTAATTATTCATTCATAGCGGATGTAAGTGGTATCTCGTAAGCGTAACTTTTCCTATAAAAATACATAATTGCTAAAACATGTCGTAAATGTTAGTGAGGTATGTGGTAACTCATTACTTATACATTCCTCGAATAGATATACATAATTTGCGTTTGAGTGGATTATTACAGGATAAAAATACACACAAACTTATAACATTAACAGCTTACAAATTAATGATATTTTGATCAGATTTATAGAGATGTAGCTATAAAATTATTCAAAAATCTTTTGAGATGTTAAGATTGCAAACAACTAGAATCTCCTGAATAAATTGTGTGTTTATTAAGAAATGAAATGACATTAATATATGACAAGAGAAGAGATTTTCTTTTCGAGTTAGGCGAAAGAAACAACGATAAAATAGTTATAAGGGAGACCAAAGAGGAGAGCTCGCAAATTAGCCGCAGGATTGGCCTCATAATCCTTGAGGGATGCTACGGTCGGCGACGCGGCTTCCATCTTCTTGTCTTGCTCTCATTTCTCCCTCTTTCCTTCTCAGTTTTCTTTCTCTTACTATTTCTTTCTCTTTTCGTCGAGGGTAGCTGATGAGGTCACATAAACGAACTCTGCTTTCCCCTTCTTATTCTTTAATCCTACCCCTCCCTGCACTCGCGCGGCTATACTAAAAATTACGAGTAGCGAAGAAGAGAACGACCGGCTGAAGACCAACGATTGAAAGTAATGAGCCATAGAAGGAAAATCACCAGGGGTAGGCCGTATTCTCCGCTGCGAGTAATCCGATAGTCGGATAATTAATCCCGTTAATTTATCGGCATCGAGTCCCGACGATGCGTTCGTGCGTGTGAAGAAAGAATAACGCAAACGCAAACATTTTTTCTCATTTACAACAAATAAAGTACAGCCATAATGTTTGCCTAAAGATATTTATTGATCGCAATCCTAATGAGAATGTCCAAAAGATTACGTCGATGTAATTAGTTAGAACGTCCGAAATAAACAAATTGAAAAACATTTTTCGATATATTTATTTATATTTACGTTCTAAAATGTTTGAAGAACATATTGCAAATAGAATTTTAATTTTTTTCGCGACAGAAGGAAGAAAAAAGTTTAGCATGGAATTTTTATATCTTAAAAACGGAAAGCACAATAATAGAGCCACTATCGATCTTAATTACGTGAAAGCTTAAAAGGGTAGAAATCACAGTAGTGATATTACTGTGATTTCGGACTCAGCGACGACGCTTTAATTGATCTACTGCCGAATGTTATACGATTGAACGGGGGTATTAAGCCTCGGAGAGTGGACGCTTAGCGATCATTGGTCAAGATCTATCGCGAGAGTAAAGC